TTAGACAGGACGAGAGAGGAATGTAGAGAGAGGAGCGTGCATCTATCCGCCCCAAAGAAGTATTGGACAAAACCATAAGGAGGACTAGTGCCTTGGAGCATTCAGCTTGGAGGTAAGCGATATGGGGCGACCAAGACAAACGAGTGTCAAAGATTAACCCCAAACGCTTAGCGGAATCCCTGTACACAAGGAGATGACCATAAGGCGACAAAGGACAACGAAGAATGACATGCTTTCGAGTAAAAGTCATAACACAAGTCTTAGATGTAGAAAACTTGAAGCCATGATCGGTGGCCCAAGACGACACGGCATCAAGTTGACGCCGCCGTTGAAGGAGAGGAGATTCATCACCCTAACAACAAAGGGAAAGATCGTTGACATAGAGTGTGGAGAAGACACCAGAAGGAAGGGAGGAAAGAAGACCGTTGAGGGCAACTAGAAAAAAAGTAGTGCTCAGAACACCACCTTGGGGGAACACCCTCATATTGCCGAAAAGAGGCAGAGAGAGTGGCACCCAGCCTCACCCGAAAGGAACGACGAGAGAGGAAACTTTGGAGGACGAGAGGGAGATTCCCACGAAGGCCAAAAGAATGAAGTTGGGACAAAATATAATACCGCCAGGTGGTGTCGTAAGCTTTTTCCAAGCCAAAAAGAACGGCAACAATGGAAGTCTTCGCAGCAAAAGGAGTACGAATATATACCTTCAAGTTCACCAGGACATCTTTTGTGCTGCGGCACTTGCAAAAACCAAATTGAGAAGTGGAGAGGTGGTGATAGCGTTCTAGGAACAACATCAGACGAACGTTAACCATACGTTCAAAGAGTTTGCAGACACAACTCGTGAGGGCAATAGGGTGGAAGTCCTTAGGGGATGACCCGAGAGTCCCTGGTTTCCGGACAGGGAGGACAACAACATCGAGCATGTCCCCAGGAACTGACGACGACTCCCAGATCTGATTAAACAAACTCAGTAAATACTGAGACGTGCACAGAGGGAGATGGCGAAGCATCTCATAATGAATGCCATCGGAGCCCGCCACTGTAGAACCGCAGAGGGCAAGGGCAGACTGAAGCTCAGAGAGAGAGAAGGGATCGTTAAAGGGAAGGTGTAGATGGGTACAGAAATCCAAAGGACGAGATTCAAGAAGAGGCTTACGAAGAAGGAAAGTTTGAGGAAAATGAGAACCAGAGCTATCAGAAGAAAAGTGGAAACCCAGTTCGGTCACGACCTGCAATGGGTCCGCCACCAGAGTACCACGAAGGTGAAGGACAGGCGAGACATCAGGAACAAACTTACTTGCTATCTTGCAGATACGCTTCCAGATCAGCGGTAGAGGAGTTTCGGACGTAATGGTAGATACATAAAACATCCAACAAGCACGTCTAGCAGTACAGATAGTCCTACGGGCCAAAGCACTTGCTTTCCGAAACAAGAGAAAAGCTGTCTGCCGGTGGCAGTGTCACTTCCAGGCTGCGCGCTTACAGTGGACAACCCGAGCACAGTCCACACTGCACCAGGGAACGCACTTCCGCATTCCCCGAGAGGATGAGAGAGGAATAGAGCGGAGGGCAGCGTCGAAGACGGTGTCATGAAAAAGGAGGAGGGCGCGAGGGAGAGGCAGAATGGAGATGTCGGAAATAGTAGCACGGAGGGTAAAGAGGCGCCAGTCAGCCTCGGCAAACCGCCACCTAGGGAAGGAGAGGGGAGGGTTAAAAGAGAAAAAGGTAACAAGGATGGGAAAATGGTCACTGCCATGGAGGTCATCAAGAACCCACCAGGAGAATTCTAAGTAAAGAGACGACGAGCAAAGAAAAAGATCGAGACAGGAAAGGGTGCAAGTCCCAAAGTCCAAATGATTGGACACACCAGAATTCAGAAGAGACAGGGAAGAAGAGAGGATTTACGGTTCAAGATAGCGACCCTGGGTGTTTGTCCGAACATCACCCCAAAGGGTATGTCGACAATTGAAATCACCTAGCAGGAGCACAGGCTCCGGCAAGGAGTCCAGGAGGTGTTTAAGATCTGGAAGAGAAAGTGGGATATTTGGGGGAAGATAAATGGAACAAACCGTGTGCCATTTATACACAAAGAGTCGGGCAACAGAACATTTGAGAGGCGACAGAAAAAGTAGGGGGATGAAGGGAACATCAGAGCGAATCAAGAGAGCAGAAGAGTTATGGGCCCCAGCTGCTGCTGCTGGGGGGAGAGAAAGGAATAGCCACGGAAGCGACCAGGACGAGCACCAAGCATCGACTCCTGGAGACAGACACAAAGGGGTGAAAACTGTGAAATCAGAAGTTGGAATTCAAGGAAATTGGCGTAATAACCACGAATGTTCCACTGAAGTATAGACATCGACAAAAAGAGGAAGGATAGCAACAGAGAACAACGAAGAAACAAAGGTGAAAAAGGAACTTAGCACATTAGAGAACCTCAGGGTCAGCAAAGTCAGGGTTAGGGGGCATGGGTAAACTGAGTAAAGATGGAGGGAAGGGAAGGGAGCAAGAGGACAGACCAGAGGTGGACGAGCAGGACCCGGAGGAGGAGGAGGAAATAACCGAGAGGGGCAGTCAAGCACAGCAGGAGGAGGAGACAACCGAGAAGGGCAGTCAAGGACCGCAGGAGGAGGAGGAGGTGGAGGGGCAGAAAGAGGGCAGCAACCGAGACGGAAGCGGGAGCCAAAGAAACCTCCACAGCGGGAACAGAGGGCTCTACCACCGAAACGGAAGGGGATGGAACGATAGAGTCAGAGATAGGGGGCGAAGAAGAAAGCGAAGCCTTCTTACCCACAGGGGAGGAGGAAGGAGATGAGCCAGGCTTTCACTTCTGACTCAAAGAGACAGGTATCCCAGCAGCAATGTACTGGGCAACAGACGCGAGTCTCTCAATAGGAAAAGAAGAAGAACGAGAGCGAACAACATGATCACCGGGCAAGCGATGGACATCAGCCTGCACAGACAGGCGGGGGGGGGGGGGGGGAGAACCAAGAGACAGAGAAGAATGACGGGAAGGAACACCAGAGGGAGAGGAGAAAGAAGACACAGGAGACATGACAGACTGGGTAGAAAGAAGGGGAACACCAGACAGAGAACCAGGAGGGGGACCCTTCTGGACAGAACGTAAAGAAACAGGGAAGGAGGTGGTGGGCGTGTCCGGGTCTAAAGCCTGGAAACGGGTGCGAGACTGAGGAAGGTGAGCAGGACGAGGAGAGGAAGAGCGCAACACGCGAGCATAAGAGATGCCAGCGAATGGGGGGAAGATGATGAACGTGGAGCCACGCCTCAGGGAAAGACAAACGGTCCTGGTGCTTCAAGTTTGTAACGTATACACGCGCGGGAGAAGGTAGGGTGGGCCTCACTGCAATTGAGGCAGCGAGCCTGGGGAGAAGTGCACTCCAACTTAGAGTGACCCTTAACCCCACACATGGGACAGAGAGAGACAGGACTAGAGCATTTGAGGGCACCATGCCCAAACTTCCAGCACTTGTTACAGAGCCGAGGAGATGGAATATATTCCTGAACGGAGTATATTCCGTTATATATATAGGTATATGCCGTATATTTATATAAGACATTACCAGATGCTCCTGAACGGAGCACCTGGCACCAGCAAGAATGACAGAGGGTGGGAGGGTCCTACCATCAAAGGTAACCTTCACAACCCGAAGGGGCAGACGGCGACGACCACGAGGGGGACGAGTAAACGTATCCACCTGAAGGACAGAATGGCCTTGGGCCTCGAGAATATGATTGATATCCTCGAGGATATCAAGCATATTCAAGAATATGCTTGATATCTTCTGTGGTTGGGGCTCGACCCAACCACAGAGGAGGGAGGGTTGATGTTGCTTAAGATTCGATGCTTGGAACAAAAAGTTCCAAGTAGCACGGGCTATGGTGAGCCCGTGGAGGGAGAAGAGCAGGAAGGAGTATAGTAGTCCGGTCTGGGTCTATACCGGCCCTGTAGCGAGGGCTACTGAGCCTGGTCTTCCAGGACATTCCGACCTCAGGGGCCTGGTCACCCACCCCATGAGCCTGGGTAAGAGAAGTCGTGTCGTAATCCACGCAGCAATCAATTTAAAGGATTGGGACCTGGAACCAAGGAATACCACCTACCAGGGCAGCCAGGGAGGCCGAGCGGTGCTCCCCCCTTTTCAACAGGGGAGTCCTACTACATCGTCCATTCTCCCACACTGGTGCTAGGACCCCAGTCCCCCTATCGCCCTAGCCTGGACACCCAACCATCCACTCAGGGCGGCCTCTCACAGGCGACCCCTCCAGCGGGTGGTCCGATGGCTCACAAGGCCCCTATGTGATGCCCTTCTGCACGTACACCACCCAAAGAGGGGGCAAAGGCAACCCACACCGGTCCCAGGGAGGTAATGGTTCGGAAAACCCTTAGGGAAAACTAGAGTGTGGGGTCCGAAAACTAAACTGTGTCAACGAACCTCAATCAAATTGTGACCGATGAGCAATCTCTTTCAAATCTGGCAACGCGCGACGAAACGGTAATCGAATCCCAATGGCAAGGGTTGGGACCCTAGAACTAGACCTCACAGTCGGCCTTTACTCCAAGTATGTCCATTTTCAATATCGTAGAAGTGGAATGATGGGCTCCGAAACGCAAACCGAGAATCGGGTCTAATTGCTGAAACCAAATACGGTCTTATGCCTACAACCGATGAGAACGACCACATCCAATGACCAATCCCTCGGGTGGTCAATAAATGCAGCTTGCTGCAGTTGAGCCCTAAAGTGGTCGGGAAAAGCGAGTAGCTGCGGCCAGCAGCTGCCTATTCCAAAACACATTTGTAGTCACCTTTTTTGTCATATCTAATACTTTGATCACACATCTAACAAAAATTTCTTACCCATATTATCAACAAGTACAACATAACAAAGCTAGTAACACCGCCTGAGCTGCTCCACACTCAGTAAATATAATTTATATAATGGCAAGTTTCAGAGATCAAAATATCAAACGAACTTCCATTCAACAGGTAATGGACATCAAAGAATCACTTGATAAGGTGCTGGAAGGACAGTTTTCCTTTATTAGCGTCAAGAATTACGTGAAGGTGTTTGTGGAGTCTTGGTACACTAATGATAAGGGTGAAACTCCTCTCTACATCAGCAACAACGGCATCTATGTCCTGGCCTGTTTTGGCTGGGCCTTCAGGTGAGTCACAGTTAATAATCGTAATAAAGTATCAATTTTCCAAACCTGTTAAAATGATTACTTAACAGGTTAGTAAGAAAAAGAAAGAGAGAGAGATCTCGTTCTTCATACATGACTGCAAAATTACTCACTCCATTTAAGGAGAGAGTAAGTTTCCAGGATTGAAAAGTGTGGGTGTGGTGATAGTGTGGGGGTAGCCAGAGTGTGGGTGTGGTGATAGTGTGGGGGTAGTCAGAGTGTGGGTGTGGTGATAGTGTGGGGGTAGCCAGAGTGTGGGTGTGGTGATAGTGTGGGGGTAGCCAGAGTGTGGGTGTGGTGATAGTGTGGGGGTAGTCAGAGTGTGGGTGTGGTGATAGTGTGGGGGTAGTCAGAGTGTGGGTGTGGTGATAGTGTGGGGGTAGCCAGAGTGTGGGTGTGGTGATAGTGTGGGGGTAGTCAGAGTGTGGGTGTGGTGATGGTGTGGGGGTAGTCAGAGTGTGAGTGTGGTGATGGTGTGGGGGTAGTCAGAGTGTGGGTGTGGTGATGGTGTGGGGGTAGTCAGAGTGTGGGTGTGGTGATGGTGTGGGGGTAGTCAGAGTGTAGGTGTGGTGATGGTGTGGGGGTAGTCAGAGTGTGGGTGTGGTGATGGTGTGGGGGTAGTCAGAGTGTGGGTGTGGTGATGGTGTGGGGGTAGTCAGAGTGTGGGTGTGGTGATGGTGTGGGGGTAGTCAGAGTGTAGGTGTGGTGATGGTGTGGGGGTAGTCAGAGTGTGGGTGTGGTGATGGTGTGGGGGTAGTCAGAGTGTGGGTGTGGTGATAGTGTGGGGGTAGTCAGAGTGTGGGTGTGGTGATGGTGTGGGGGTAGTCAGAGTGTGGGTGTGGTGATGGTGAGGGGGTAGTCAGAGTGTAGGTGTGGTGATGGTGTGGGGGTAGTCAGAGTGTGGGTGTGGTGATGGTGTGGGGGTAGTCAGAGTGTGGGTGTGGTGATAGTGTGGGGGTAGTCAGAGTGTGGGTGTGGTGATGGTGTGGGGGTAGTCAGAGTGTGGGTGTGGTGATGGTGTGGGGGTAGTCAGAGTGTAGGTGTGGTGATGGTGTGGGGGTAGTCAGAGTGTGGGTGTGGTGATGGTGTGGGGGTAGTCAGAGTGTGGGTGTGGTGATAGTGTGGGGGTAGTCAGAGTGTGGGTGTGGTGATGGTGTGGGGGTAGTCAGAGTGTGGGTGTGGTGATGGTGTGGGGGGTAGCCAGAGTGTGGGTGTGGTGATGGTGTGGGGGGTAGCCAGAGTGTGGGTGTGGTGATGGTGTGGGGGGTAGCCAGAGTGTGGGTGTGGTGATGGTGTGGGGGGTAGTCAGAGTGTGGGTGTGGTGATGGTGTGGGGGTAGTCAGAGTGTGGGTGTGGTGATGGTGTGGGGGGTAGCCAGAGTGTGGGTGTGGTGATGGTGTGGGGGTAGCCAGAGTGTGGGTGTGGTGATGGTGTGGGGGGTAGCCAGAGTGTGGGTGTGGTGATGGTGTGGGGGTAGCCAGAGTGTTTTCACTCAATCAGCAGACATCGGAGCCAACGAGAAATGAAAATATTCTAGATCTGGTCATTACGAACAATGAAGACATTATCAGAGACATTACGATATCAGATACCACATACTCAGATCTCAAGCTCATTGAAGTGCAAACGACCATCAATACTCAGAATAGACCTAAAACGTTGATAAAGCGAGAGGGACTATTCAGTAAATTCAATTTTAATAATAAAAGGATAGACTGGGAGATAATGAACAGGGAACTTACAAACATTCCATGGGGAACTGTTTTAAGTAATACAAGTCCTACAGAAGGAATAGAAAAACTGTCTTCGGAAGCGTACCAAGTCTGTCTGAAACAGACATGGAAAATAATTGAGGGGCTATTTATCGTGGAAAATAATTGAGGGGCTGGTCCCAAGCCTGCACACAGAAATAGCATCACATGAGACCAGGAGGCATGGCAGGATGTGCAGAATACCCCCGTTGAAAAAGCAGAGGTGCAACAGGTACTCTGAGAGTACCTGTTGATAGAGTACAACAGGTACTCTATCAACATCAGAGGCCCGAGACTGTTCAATACGCTTCCACTACACATAAGGGGCATAACTGGCCGACCCCTCACAGTGTTCAAGAGAGAACTGGATAAGCACCTCCAAAGGATACCTGATCAACCAGGCTGTGACTCATACGTCAGGCTGCGAGCAGCCGCGTCTAACAGCCTGGTTGATCAGTCCAGCAACCAGGAGGCCTGGTCGACGACCGGGCCGCGGGGACACTAAGCCCCGGAAGCACCTCAAGGTAACCTCAAGGTAACATGTTCCTTTGAGGAAAGCCAGAAAGAGATCCAACGTAGAAAGAGAACGCAGACGACACTATAAACGCAGGAAAAAAAATAACGGAACTGCTTATGCAGACACGAATTTCCCGTCAAAGAAGGAATAATTTAAATAGGGAGATTGAAGAAATCGAGCGGAAATTGAAACACTCATATCAAACTGAAGAAAGGCAGTTAGAACAGAAAGCAATTCAGGAAATAAAGAAAAATCCAAAATACTTCTTCACATATGCGAAATCAAAAGCAAAAACCACTGCCAGTATTGGACCTATTCGAACAAGTGAAGGTTCATACACGGAGGATGACAAAGAAATTAGTGAAATCCTAAAAAAGCAGTATGAGGACATGTTTAGCACTCCAATAAACAACATGAAAGTGGAAGATCCAGACTATTTCTTTATGCGGGATATTCAAACCCCTGTAAATATAACTGATATCAACACGAGCGCACTAAATTTTGAAAGAGAAATTGAAAACATGACCATGCACTCGGCCCCAGGTCCAGACTCATGGAATTCAATACTTATACAGAAATGCAAAGTGCCGGTAGCACAGGCACTCAGTATAGTGTGGAGGAAGAGCTTGGACACGGGGGAGATACCAGATGCACTTAAAGTAGCAGACATAGCCCCTCTACACAAGGGAGGGAGCTAAGCATTGGCAAAGAATTATAGACCAGTTGCACTAACATCGCACATAATAAAAGTATTTGAGAGAGTGATTAGGAGTCAGGTCACCAATTTCATGGAGACCAATGACCTCTACAACCCAGGCCAACATGGATTTCGAGCGGGAAGATCGTGCCTCTCAAAGCTACTTGAGCACTACGACAAAGTCACTGAGGCATTAGAGGAAAAACAGAATGCTGATGTGATATACACGGACTTCGCAAAGACTTTCGATAAATGTGACCACGGCGTGATAGCACACAAAATGAAGTCAATGGGAATAACCGGTAAAGTAGGATGCTGGATACTCAGTTTTCTGTCAAACAGGACTCAGCGAGTAACGGTCAACCATATAAAATCTAGTCCAAGTGCAGTGAAAAGCTCTGTACCTCAGGGTACAGTCCTTGCACCACTGCTTTTCCTTATTCTCATATCAGATATAGACAAAAATACAAGTCACAGCTTCGTATCATCCTTTGCAGATGACACAAAAATCAGTATGAAAATTACCTCGGCTGAGGACATTGAAAAACTTCAAGCTGATATTAATAAAGTTTTCGACTGGGCATCAGAAAATAACATGATGTTTAACAGTGATAAATTCCAGGTACTCAGGTACGGTAAAAATGAGGACCTTAAACATAATACAGGGTATAAAACACAATCAAATGTACTAATAGTAGGAAAACAGCATGAAAAGGATTTGGGAATAATGATGCCTGACGACGTAACGTTTAGGGAGCATAACCAAGCAAATATTGCGACAGCCAGAAAAATGATAGGATGGATTACGAGAACTTTCAAATCCAGGGATCCAATCACAATGATTGTACTCTTCAAGTCACTTGTGTTGTCCCGTCTTGAGTACTGCTCAGTACTCACTTCCCCCTTCAGAGGAGGAGAGATTGCTGAAATAGAGGGAATTACAGAGAACATATACGGAACGCATAGACGAGATAAAGCACCTAAATTATTGGGATCGTCTCAAACCCCCCCAAATGTACTCACTAAAACGAAGACGAGAGAGATATCAAATAATATTCACCTGGAAGATACTGGAGGGCCAAGTACCAAATCTACACAGTAAAATAACAACGTACTGGAGTGAACGATATGGAAGAAAATGCAGAATAGAACCAGTGAAGAGTAGAGGTGCCATAGGCACAATCAGAGAACACTGTATAAACATCAGAGGTCTACGATTGTTCAACACCCTCCCAGCAAGCATAAGAAATATTGCCGGAACAACCGTGGACATCTTCATGAGGAAACTAGATTTGTTCCTCCAAGGAGTGCCGGACCAATCGGGCTGTGGTGGGTATGTGGGCCTGCGGGCCGCTCCAAGCAACAGCCTGGTGGACCAAACTCTCACAAGTCAAGCCTGGCCTCGGGCCGGGCTTTGGGAGTAGAAGAACTCCCAGAACCCCATCAAGCAGGTATCAACCAGTGAGGGTGTGGTGATGGTGTGGGGGTAGTCAGAATGTGGGTGTGGTGATGAGGGGAGGGGGTGGTGATGGGGAAGGTGTATGAGGGGAGGGGGCGATGATGGAGAAAGGTGTATGAGAGGAGAGGGGCAGTGATGGGGAAGGTGTATGAGAGGAGAGGGGCAGTGATGGTGAAGGTGTATGAGGGGAGGGGGCGGTAATGAGGGAGGGTGTATGAGAGGAGGGGGCGATGATGGGGAAGGTGAATGAGGGGAGGGGACAGTGATGGGGAAGGTGTATGAGGGGAGGGGGCGGTAATGAGGGAAGGTGTATGAGAGGAGGGGGCGGTTATGGGGAAGGAGCCTGAGGGGAGAGGGGCGGTGATGGGAGAAGGTGTATGAGGGGAAAGGGGCGGTGATGGGGGGAAAATGTATGAGACGATGGGACAGTGATGGGGGGATGGTGTATGAGGTGAGGGGACGGTGAAAGGGAAGGTGTATGAGGGGAGGGGTAGGTGAAGGGGGGAAGGTGTATGAGGGGAGGGGTAGGTGATGGGGCGAAGGTGTATGAGGGGAGGG